TTTTTCGTATACGTCTTCAAGAGTCGGTATAATGAAAGCAAACGTATAATACACGTACTTTAATGATTTTTTAATATCAAAGAACAAAAAGCGGAAGTCCACAAAATTATTCAAAAAACAATTAATTACTATTTACCAAGTAATTTACGAAATCAGTAAAATATTTAAATATTCGCTAAAGTAATAATAATTAAAACATAATCACTAATTAAATTAATTAAAAAATGGCTAAGGTATTACTTAATTACATGCATTAAATTAAAGAAGTTGGCCAAAAAACAAAAGTGAAGAAACTAATTTTATATTTTTAAAATTCCAAAAAAAAAAAAGGCCAAACTACCTTTCCCGACAAAATTACCTCTACCGACAAAATTTCGTCGCGAGAAACCTAATTCGACAAATATTTGCCGGCAAAGACCTATGCCGACGACATTTCGTCGGGAGAGATTTTAACACAAAAATTAAATATAAACTTAGTATCTTTAGGTCAATAATTTTATTTTTTTTTCAAAATTTCTTTCCTGTAATTAATTTAAATACTTTCATTAGTAATTATTTTCTAACTATTATTTCTCTAGTGAATAATTAGTATTAAATATTTTAATTAATAGCATAAATGATATTACTAAATTAATAGTATTTAGACTAGTCTAGAGCATTATCTGTTACGTTTAGGTCATTACCAAGGTGTAGCTATTGTCGCCGTTTGATTTTTTCTTTTCCAAAGTTATTACCCGGTATATAGAATTTAGCATTTTTCTCATTTAATACTAGTATTATACACGTACATACGTATTTTTCAAAAAATACTTCCATTTTCGTATACGTCTTCAAGAGTCGGTATAATGAAAGCAAACGTACAATGCACATATCTTAATGATTATTTAATATCAAAGAACAAAAAACGGAAGTCCACAAAATAATTCAAAAAACAATTAATTACTATTTACCAAGTAATTTACGAAATCAGTAAAATATTTAAATATTCGCTAAAGAAATAATAATTAAAACATAATCACTAATTAAAGTAATTAAAAAATGGCTGAGGTATTACTTAATTACATGCATTAAATTAAAGAAGTTGGCCAAAAAACAAAAGTGAAGAAACTAATTTTATATTTTTAAAACTCAAAAAACAAAAAAAGCAAAACAACCTCACCCGACGAAATTACCTCTACCGACGACATTTCGTCGCGGGAAACCTAATCCGACAAACTTTTGCCGGCAAACACCTATGCCGACGAAATTTCATCGCGAGAGGTTTTTAAAAAAAAATTAAATATAAACTTAGTGTCTTTAGGTCAATAAATTTTTATTTTTTCAAAATTTCTTTCCAGTAATTAATTTAATTACTTTCATTAGTAATTATTTTCTAACTATTATTTCTCTAGTGAATAATTAGTATTAAATATTTTAATTAATAGCATAAATGATATTACTAAATTAATAGTATTTAGACTAGTCTAGAGCATTATCTGTTACGTTTAGGTCATTACCAAGGTGTAGCTATTGTCGCCGTTTGATTTTTTACTTTTCCAAAGTTATTACCCGTATATAGAATTTAGCATTTTTCTCATTTAATACTAGTATTATACACGTACATACGTATTTTTCAAAAAATACTTCCATTTTCGTATACGTCTTCAAGAGTCGGTATAATGAAAGCAAACGTACAATGCACATATCTTAATGATTATTTAATATCAAAGAACAAAAAACGGAAGTCCACAAAATAATTCAAAAAACAATTAATTACTATGTACCAAGTAATTTACGAAATCAGTAAAATATTTAAATATTCGCTAAAGAAATATTAATTAAAACATAATCACTAATAAAACTAATTAAAAAAAGGCTAAGGTATTACTTAATTACATGCATTAAATTAAAGAAGTTGGCCAAAAAACAAAAGTGAAGAAACTAATTTTATATTTTTAAAACTCAGGAAAAAATAAAATAAAAAAAAAGCCAAACAACCTCTTCCCCCGAAATTACCTCTACCGACGAAATTTCATCGCGAGAAAGCTAATCCGACAAATTTTTGCCGGCAAAGACCTATGCTGACGAAATTTCATCGGGAGAGATTTTTAAAAAAAATTAAGTATAAACTTAGTATCTTTAGGTTAGTAAATTTTTATTTTTTTCGAAATTTCTTTCCAGTAATTAATTTAATTACTTTCATGAGTAATTATTTTCTAACTATTATTTCTCTAGTGAATAATTAGTATTAAAACCCGCTTGGAAACTAGTGACCAAGAGCTTGATTTTGATCTCAAATTTGAACCAGCTATGAAGGACACCAAGGATTCAAACACAGCGCCGGTGACTGCATCTAACTCTTTCAACATGTTGACAACTGCTGGAGTCTCATGGTTCTTGTCTTTGCACTTACTTTCCTTGACCTTTAAGGCCTTGTTCATTGACTTCTTGATATCCTTCCTAGAGGCAAGGTATTTCCTAACCTCACTCATGAAGCTCATGTCACCTCCTCGTCTTCTGCGCATGATTGATTGAAGTTCAGGTGTGCATTCCTTTGTTTCCAAAAGGGCGTCCTTAATGATGCCACACACATCCAGGAGCCTCAAAGATCCATCTAGTTGTTCATTGATTTGTCTCCACACTCCTGGGCTAAGGCTTGTTGACTGAATGGCAAGAGAAGAAACTTCTCAACACACTCATGCAAATCTTGAAGGCCACTGAGTTTGTGGCTTATGGATGATGATGATGAAGAGGCGGTCTCTGATGCCTTTAATCTGCACAACTTCTCATCGAATTCTGTAACGAAAGGATGTGATGTTGAAGGCAAGCTGTTTGAGCGAGCATGGAAGGAAGCCATTTTCTTTTTTAATGGGAAAGAGAAAGGCCTTGTGCCTTGCAGTTGAATGTTCAATTGGGTGTTTCAGTTTGCTTTCCTTCTCTTTGGCATCTGTTCAATATATATTACACGGTTAGGGAGACAAGAGCAACTCATCCTCTTCACAGCTGAATGAGTCGCAACGTTATTTGGATCTGGATCCGAAAACTATATCAGCGATGTTTATGCAGTCTCCCAACACCGGATCAGCAACCCATCCCCAACCATATTTTACTTCTAATATAGCATGATTATCTTCAATTAGGTAACAATATTATGTAATGCATTGCACAATTAAACATAAAATATGTAGAACACGAGTGGTATTGTACCATCTTTCTATATGTAAAAGAAAGATAATAGCTCTTCTATCCAGCATTCCAGCTCTTCCTGCCTGCCTCCGTGGGGACGAGTTCTGTTAATTCAATGTCTCGATTATCATGTAACACAATATTTTATTTTAGTTCATTAAAATCATGTGGTTTCATTGTCTATGTCAGAATCACTCATCATCTTCCAATTCCCACCAACTAGTTTTTATATCAGAATCAGATGCATGCATATGCATTTTCTGATTTTTTTTGCTCTTCATGAAATGCATTTTCCTTTGCTTTATATTCTGTATGTCTTACAACGCATTCCAGACAACAACCTTACATGCATTAACAAGTTGGTCATCAGGCATACCATGATTGTTTGGCCAGACAACTTAATTTGCAGGTATTGGAGGTGCTTGGTGTTTCCATTTCAACGACAATGACGAAGATGATCTATAAAATAAGTGAAACTTGGCAATCACCCAGCAACTCAATCAGTTGGGCATTCATATCTGTCACCGAAAATTCATTAAAACTAAGAATGCAAACGGTGAGAAATTATGGTTATGGCAGCTTCTTGTATGACACAAAGTCAATGCCATTCGTGTACTCTCTATGTAACACAGAATGTGGCGTCACAAATATTAAAAGACATAGGTGCTGAGTTGGGGAGTTGAAAGGTAGGGAACAGGGCAGGGACATTGTTGAGATAAACATATTCAAATCACAAAGATCCAAAACCATTCATTGTTATATGAATAGGATGAGATTCTTCATGTTTCCTAACAATCCACAGTATACTTGAATAGTCAGTCATCATCCTCTTGTATATATTAACTTAATATTATTAAGCAGATGCCCATGGAGGAAGATAAACCGCTAGACGAACTTGTACAATAATTCACTGCAAAACTTTCTTTTCTCTAAACAGAAAAAAATGGCTGCCACAAAATCCAATTGCCATGCTCGCTCAAACAGCGTTCCCTCAACAACGCACCCTCTCATTTCAGAATTTGATGAGCAGTTGTGCAGATTGAGGACTTCTGGAACCGCCTCTTCATCCTCTACATCAGTAAGCCAAAGCCTAAATGGCCTTAAGGATTTGTATGATTGTGCAGATGAGCTGCTTTTGTTGCCACTCACTCGACAAGCCTTAGCTCAAGAGGAGAACGATGAGCTATTGGATGGATCTCTTAGGCAATTGGATGTATGTAGTGTCGCCAAGGATACCTTGCTCCAAACCAAAGAATGCACAATAGAAATTTTATCAATTATCCGCAGAAGACGGGGAGGAAAAACTGAGCTTGCAAGTGAGGTTAAGAAATTCTTGGCAATCAGGAAGGTGATGAAAAAAGCTGTCTGCAAGGCCTTAGGAAATTTGAAGGTTGTTTCTCCCTTCAGTAAGGAGCATGAGGCTGTGGCTATGGTTAGCATGTTGAAAGAGATGGAAGCAGTTACTCAGACTGTGTTTGATTCCATATTTTCTTTTATCTCGGGTCCAAAGACACAATCAAAGCCAAGTGGGTTGCAACTAGTCTCAAACTTGATGCGCCATAAAAGAGTAGCAGCATGTAAAGAAAGAAGAAGAAGAAGAAACAGATGCAAATGAATTTGCAATGGTGGATGCAGCATTGCACTCAATTGTTGGTCACAAGACAAAAGAATCTGATAACATTATTCAGAATGCACAAACCCAACTGCAAAATTTAGAGTTGTGCATACAAGATCTAGAAGAGTCACTTGAACACCTTTCAAGGCGTTTGATCAAAACCAGAGTTTCCCTCCTCAACATCCTCAACCACTAGATTAGGATACTCAGATAGTACTGGATGATTCATCCAAAATTGTTTTGGCTCATACTTGTACATTAATGAGATATACACGTACAATATACTTTCTCATATAATTAATCAATACTTTTCTTTCCACAATTTACTTCAATTACAGGTTTTTTCTTTTTGATAAAACTTAATAACATCAAAACCTGTAGCATTTTCTGGTAAAACTCACAACTTTCCCGAATAGGGTAAATGGAATTTGAATCTGTCCTTGTCTAATAATCTCCAGGAAAATACTCAAAAACAGATAACCAATCCCTGGGGCTAATTAATTTATGATACTCACATGGCAAACTCAGATATCACACCCAATAACAATAATTGTGCTGGTTTTCGTGGTGTTTGGGGAACAGTCCAGTTCTTCAAGTCTGCTACATAGCATTTTTCTACAATATGGAAACACAATGCATGGTCATAAATTAGTGGATATTGCAGATCTTGCCTGCTCGTAGAGCAACAATCATGAAATTAAGATGAATTAACTAATCACTTACATTAATCATAATCAGCATAATAGAGTTTGTAGCATATGAGAAGGATGGCTAGGATGCATGGTTTTTCCCTCACCACGTATTATTAGACAGAGTCAATGCTGCTCGTGCAATAACATATAATATATATATATTTATGTCCAATTGTTAATAAGGATTTTTAGCAGACCCTGAGATTTTATATGCAAAATGAATCAGCTCATGAGTTGTGCTGGTGTGGGAAGAGACATTGTATAAACATTGCCTAGGGAAAATATATATCCAAATCGAAATCATGTTACTGCTGGCTGGTGATTGCAGTGGACGCGATACCATGTCCTGTCCACTTCCTTGACCAACACTATATATTAAGCAGATGCATATGGAAATGAACACATCAATCTCAATTGTGCATTAACTACAAAGTCTTCTCTTCTATCCTCTCACAGCACACAAACAAGAAATGGCTTTCCACACTCGCTCTAACAGCTTCCCCTCTAGGCCACACCCGGTCCTTCAAGAAGTTGATGAACTCTTGTGCAGATTGAGATCTTCTGAGGCCACCTCTGCATCTTCATCTTCAATAAGCCACAAACTAAGTGGCCTCCAAGACTTGCACGATTGTGTTGATAGATTGCTTCAGTTGCCCCTCACTCAACAAGCCTTAGCACAAGTGCAGAATGAGAAATGGGCTAATGAGCTACTAGATGGCTCTCTCAGACTCTTGGATGTTTCTAGCAGTGCCAAGGATGCTCTGTTGCAAACCAAGGAATGCGTGCAGGACCTTCAATCAATCATGCGAAGAAGGCGGGGAAGTGAATCTGGAGCACTCACAACTGAGGTCAGGAAATACTTGACCTCTAGGAAGATGGTGAAAAAGGCAATCCAAAAGGCTATGAAGAATCTCAAGGGAACCGAAAACAGATCCACATTTTCTTCCCTCAACAAGGACGATGAGACATTTTCCGTTGTTAGCAAGTTGAGAGAAGTTGAAGCAATCACCCTCGCAGTGTTTGAGTCACTTCTTTCCTTCATATCCGGGCCAAAATCACAGCCCAGCAGCTGGTCACTAGTCTCCAAGATGATGCAGTCAAAGAAAGTGGCTTGTGAGGAAGCAACAGAAATAAATGAATTTGCAGAGGTGGATGCTGCATTGAACTCACTCATTAGACACAAGGCAAGCAAGCCTAGTGCTGATGATGCCCACAATCAACTTGACCAACTGGAGTCATGCATTCAAGACCAAGAAGAAGGACTTGAGTGCCTATTTAGGCAAATGATCAAAACAAGAGTTTCCCTCCTCAACATCCTAAACCACTAGACCGTCTAGTCTAGACGTATATTAGCTTTTTCGATTTTGTACATGAAAGACATACATGTGTATACAAATACATCCTCTGATATCAAATTCATATACATAATGATATACTTTTTCCCTTGAATCGCCACTTATCTTTTCTCTTATTTCAAACGCGTTCCTTTCCGAAGCTCATATGGTTAATTAATGCCAGTACTGAAGATGATTTTCTACTTAGTCTTAGAAATTAATTCACAAAAGAACTTTTTTCTCCAATTACAATTTGAAAAAGAATTAGCTGTAATTTCTCAATCGTACACAAGGCTGAGTGGTATTTCACACGAGTTATAACAATGTATGATTGAGGTCACATGGGATATTTGTACAAATTATACCAAATGTCAAGGCTGTCAAGATTCTGTTTGTCTCACTCTCAAGTAAGATAATCAATAATCAACAGTTGATTACATTCAAAGGAGGACTTGATCCTCACATAAACACATGCTTGCTGAATACAATTTTGGTTACAGAAACATCCTCTGGTCTCAAATTAATACAATTTTGGTTAAATTGCGCTTAATATAGCATTCAATTTGGTGCCGATCCTAATCCTGAATTCCTTTAATATTTACTGCAACTTTAATTGTCATGCTATCCAAGGCGTCAAGTAAGGCAGAAAACATCTTCCTAAGAGAAGAGTTCAAAGATTTGAACAAACAGAGACCAAGCTTACGAAAAATTAAAAAGAAGAAAACAAAAATTAAACAGCTATAATGTGAGTGTTCAAAGCAAGCACTGAGATCGTATGGAATTTATGCAAGCAAAGCATATCAAATATCTGAAGGGCAGATACTCAATAATCAACAACTAAAGGCATTCAAAGGACGACTTGACTCTCACATTCTTGAAGCAGTGAACATAAGACCTCATGATGGAGTTTTATTCCTTTTCTCTTTATACCCTGAAAAAACAGTAAATCCCACATTGAAAAAACATAATGCTTGTCAAGTACTTAATATAGTTAAGTCCTAAAATTTAGTTTGCCGAGCCTAGTAACGTGGGCTTGTGACCCAACGTGGGGGCATTAAAGGTGGAATGTGGAAAGTTCTTGTCAGGACACGGACAACCTACGGCCCAATATGTTCTCGGTTGGTGGCCTTAGATACACAAGTCTAAGCTCGCCGTATGTTTCCAGAAGGACTACATTGGGCTCCTATAGTCTCTTTAGGCTGCCCGGTTGACGTCTTTGCCCAGGACGGCATTAAGGATGTTGGCTTATCAGAGCAGCAGTGGTGAACATGACGGCATCCAGAACTATCAGAACTTACTGGGCCAAGGAGGTCCGCCGCTCTTGACCAGACCGCCACCTTTTTAGCCACTTCCTCTTTTTTTCTTTTTCAAGTTTTATTTTTAAATGGAATTTTCTGTTTTAATCATTTTTATTTATTTAGTTTCCTTTATAAATTAAAGACCACCCAATAACTTATTTGACACTGTACCAAGTATTTGAAATACGGAACAAAAATACCATTCAGGCAATATTTTAGAAAGTGAGCGCTCAACCCGAAAGAAATACCACAGCGATGCAAACATCCAAGATACCCTCAACAAATTCACAGGACTCTCTGAACTTATGATTGAGGTCGCCTTCTCAACATCCTCAAACCAAAAGTATGTTGAAAACCAGAATTTCAAGGCGTTTGATGATTCATCCAAAAGTATTTTGGCTCATACTTGTACATGAATGAGATATACATTTTTTATATACTCAATCAAATACTCTTAGAGCTCAAGTGTTTAAACACTTAATTGGGGGCTTTCATGTCTAATTTTATCCAGGGAAACAATCAAAAACAGATTAACATTAACAAATCAATGGGACTAATTAGTTCATTATTACTCCAATGGTAGACTCAGATCTCACTCCCAGTAACAATAATTCTGCCGGTTTTCGTTTCGTTTGGGGGACAAACAGTCCAGATCACCAAGTCTGTTTCATGCCATTTTCTCCAATACTTATTAATACTGGTTGCAGATCTTGCCTCCTACTTGCCCAGCAATCATATCAAGGACCTGCAAAATACGATGACTTAACCAATCTGATCTGCATAATTGACTTTAATAAATCATATAACACTATGGCTAGGAAGGATGCATGGTTTCGTTTGGTCGACACAGGGTTAATAGATTAAAGCCACTCGTGCAACAGCATACTCTGAGATTTTTATATGCAAATGAGTTGGTATGCTGGTGTGGGAAGAGACATCGCACAAACATTGCCTAGGGAACATATAGATCCAAATCGAAATCATGTTACCTCTGGTTGGTGATTGAAGAGGATGAGATTCCATGTCCCCTTCTTCAACCAACACTATATATTAAGCAGATGCAGATGGAAAGGAACACATCAGTTTGAATTGTACATTTAACCTATTCTTTCAAGGTCATCTATTCTCTCTCTCACAAGACCAAAAAAGGAAAAAGAAATGGCTTTCCACACTCGCTCTAACAGCTTCCCTTCTAGGCCACACCCGATCGTTCAAGAAGTTGATGAACATTTGTGTAGATTGAGGTCTTCTGAGGTCACCCCCACATCATCATCAATCAGCCACAAACTAACTGGCCTTCAAGAATTGCATAGTTGTGTTGATAGGTTGCTTCAGTTGCCCCTCACTCAACAAGCCTTGGCCCAAGAGCAGAATGAGAAATCAACTAATGAGCTATTAGATGGCTCTCTGAGGATCTTGGATGGTTGCAGCAGAGCCAAGGATGCTCTGTTGCAAACCAAGGAATGCGTGCAGGACCTTCAATCAATCATGCGAAGAAGGCGGGGAAGTGAATCCAGAGCACTCACAACTGAGGTCAGGAAATACTTGACCTCTAGGAAGATGGTGAAGAAGGCAATCCACAAGGCTATGGGAAATCTCAAGGGATCCAGTTTCTCATCCCTTAACAAGGACAATGAGACTATTGCCGTTGTTAGAACGTTGAGAGATGTCGAGGCAGTCACTCTCTCAGTGTTCGAATCACTCCTGTCCTTCATCTCTGGCCCAAAGTCAAAGCCAAGCAGCAGTTGGTCATTGGTTTCCAAGATTATTCACACCAAAAGAGTAGCTTTTGAGGAAGAAACGGAAGCAAATCAATTTGCACGAGTGGATGCTGCTCTGCAATCATTCATTAAGACAAGCAAATCTGACCACAAAAAAGTAGACAACCAGCTCGACAATCTGGAGTCATGCATTCAAGATCAGGAAGAACAACTTGAGTGCCTTTTTAGGCAGTTGATCAAAACAAGAGTCTCCCTCCTCAACATCTTAAACCACTAGATCTTAGCTTTTTCGATTATGTACATGAAAAACATACGTGTATACAAATACATCCTCTGGATATCAAATTGATTATACAAAATGATTTACTCATTTGCTTAATTGTCAACTATTCTTCTTCTTTCGTCAAAAGCATTCGTTTTCTGAACAGATCATAAATTCTTGCAACTACTGCAACAAACATTTTACCATTTATGTTCTATATAACCACATATAATCTATGTTTTTGGCATCAATCTTGGAAATTAATGGAACAAAAAAAAAAAAATTCCCTAGTCTAATTACAAGATGAAAATTTGATTTAACTCTAACTCCCCTGAGTCAAACCTGAGGTAAACTCACAGGAGTATCAAAAACTATCATTGTTACACATGGGATTTAAGCCAATTATATCAAATGTCAAGGCTGTCAAGATTCCAATTGTCTCAAGAGAGATAATCAATAATCAATGGCATGAAAAGGAGGACTTGATTCAGCAGTAAACATATGATGACTGTCTCTGTTAGAGGGACAATTAGAGACTAAAAAAGGGCTTAAGTCAATGATCATATGGCCTTACTTGCTTCATTCACTACAACCATTTAGAAAGCCTTAAAATTATAGATCAGGCTTGCTGCTTGCTTAACCATCATGTCAAGGACCTGCAAAATAAGATTAACTAATCACATACATAAATAAGCATATAAAACTGCTGGGCATGGGATCATGTCCACTCGTGCTATCACATATATAATTAATTGATCTCTATCCAATATGTTAATTATGATTGAATGATTGTCACATTATGTAAAGAAACTCTGAGATTTTATATGCTAAATTAATCAGTTCATGAGTTGGAATGCTGGTGTGGGAAGAGACAATGCATAAACATCGCTGATGGAGCATATAGATCCACATCGAAATCATGTTACCTCCCACTGATGATTGTAGTGGATGAGATTCCATGTCCCCCTCCTCAACCTACACCATATATTAAGCAGATGCATATGGAAAGAACCCATCAGTTCTGAATTAGACATCAACCACAACTACAAGGTCTTCTGTTCTATCTTCAAACAACACAGAAAAAAAGAAATGCCTTTCCATACTTGCTCTAACAGCTTCCCTTCAAGGCCACACCCAATCGTTCAAGAAGTTGAAGAACATTTGTGTAGATTGAGGTCTTCTGAGGCCACCTCCACGTCTTCATCATCATCAATAAGCCACAAACTAAGTGGCCTCCAAGAATTGCATGATTGTGTTGATAGGTTGCTTCAGTTGCCCCTCACTCAACAGGCCTTAGCCCAAGAGCAGAATGAGAAATGGGCTAATGAGATATTAGATGGCTCTCTGAGACTCTTAGATGTTTGCAGCAGTGCCAAGGATGTCATCCTGCAAACCAAGGAATGCGTACAGGATCTTCAATCGATTATACGAAGGCGGCGAGGAGGTGAAACTGGAGCTCTTACAAGTGAGGTAAGGAAATACTTAACCTCTAGGAAGATGGTGAAACAATCAACAAGGCTATGGGTAGTTTGAAGGCAATAGCAAACAAATCCGCTTTCTCTTCCCTCAACAAGGATCATGAGAAGTTGAGAGAAGTAGAAGCAGTCACTCTTGCAGTGTTTGAGTCACTTTTGTCCTCTGTCTCTGGGCCAAAATCAAAGACAAGTAGCTGGTCATTGGTCTCCAAGATAATGCAATCAAAAAAAGTTGCTTGTGAGGAAGAAGCAGAAGCAAATGAGTTTGCACAAGTGGATGCTGCATTGAACTCTCTCATTGGACACAAGACAAGCAAATCTCAACACCAAAATGTCGATAATGTGCAGAACCAGCTTAACAAGCTGGAGTCTTGCATTCGGGACCAGGAAGAAGGACTTGAGTGCCTTTTTAGGCAATTGATCAAAACAAGAGTCTCTCTTCCTTGCAGTGTTTGAGTCACTTTTGTCCTCTGTCTCTGGGCCAAAATCAAAGACAAGTAGCTGGTCATTGGTCTCCAAGATAATGCAATCAAAAAAAGTTGCTTGTGAGGAAGAAGCAGAAGCAAATGAGTTTGCACAAGTGGATGCTGCATTGAACTCTCTCATTGGACACAAGACAAGCAAATCTCAACACCAAAATGTCGATAATGTGCAGAACCAGCTTAACAAGCTGGAGTCTTGTTCCCAAATCGAGGAAGAAGGACTTGAGTGCCTTTTTAGGCAATTGATCAAAACAAGAGTCTCTCTTCTCAATATATATATATATATTAGGGTTTAGGGCTTTTCAATTTTTAACATGGAAAGCAATACATGCATACAAATACCACTTCTGATATGAAATGGATATATAAACAACGATATACACCCTTTTTCTTACTTCAAAAGCATTCTTTTCCAAACCTCAAATTGTTAATCGATACAAGCAGTACCCTAATAATTTCAAAGAAGAAACTAAAATAGAAGCAGAGTTCCCCACAAAGCATAACTTTCCCATCATCCCAATCAGGCAAAAAAAAAATTTAAGAGAAACCTGATTTTGATTTTGGCATTGAAACTTCCCAAATCGAGGAAGAAAATTGCAAAAAGGTTTGGTTCAATTGGGACAGTCTAGCGGGCCATGGTGGATCCGAGCGACACCGACTCGTTATCCTTCCACTGCCAAGAGCGGGAGGTAATCGTTGCTCTGTGAAGCCAGCCTTACGCAGTTCCCTCCACTCTAGGAGCCAAGAGACCCAGTGCCTTCGCTCGAGCCACATGGTTCAACTCCTGGCTTGGAATGGGAGAGTCAGAAGATAGTCGACCCGGACCGGACCAGCTAATACTGAGCCAAAGTTCCAAACCTCGAAGCCCCCACTCGGGTTATAAGCTTGCGTTACAAAGCTCGGCGATAGAACCTCCTCGTGTTAGGTTTATAAAGCGTAGTGTCTGATACCGACAAAGCGATGTGGGATAACTTGCACCCGCTCTTACCTTCAGATAATGACTTGAGTTTTAAGGTCTATTTGGAAGCTCAGAATTTCATCAATACTTGATCAATTTGTATGTTTCAGTGACAATTTAGGGAGTTGAATATGATCACAAGACTTTCAAGACTTCATTTATCTCAAGGCAGATAACCATCAATAAACACTTCACATTCAAAGGAAACTAAAACAAAAGTTTATGGTAAAACTCACTGAAGCATTTTAGAGGATCTTCAGAAGACATTGTTAACGCTGGGTGGTGAAAAATAGTAAACATCAGTTAAAGATTAACCCACACTTTTGTTTTGTAAAAACAATCCTTGGAGGTGGTTTAATTTACTTGTATTTTTTTAAGGTAAAATTTAAAGTAACATCAGAGAAAGCTTCCTTTTTTCTGGTAAAACTCACTGAAGCATTTTATTTCAGCTGCCTAATTTCATATCTGCATGTTGTTTCTGAGTTAAGTAAGAAAAATCTCTGAGCCCTACAGAAGTTTTCAAAACAATAAAATGGATTATCTCCCAGGAAATATTAAACACAGATTAAAGTAAAAAAAATTAATGAGACTAATTAATTATGCTGGTTATAGTGAAAATTATGTTGGTTTTCTTTCAGTTTGGGGAACATTGCAATTCATATATATGATAGAAACATTGCAATTCTTTCTAGTTTGCTAAATAACCAACAATTTTCCATTTTCCTACATTATAGAAACACAACGGATGGTGACTTTTTAATGCAAAATATTGCATATTTGCAGATCATGCCTCCTCCTTGGCAAAAAATCATGTGAAGGACCTGCAAAACAAGAGGAATTAACTAATCACATATGTTGATCACCATAATTGAGTTAAATGGTTTTTGCCTCCCCACGTATTTTTGGAAACAAGGACGTCAATGCCACTCGTGGTATCGTATATTAACAATGATTAAATGGTTGTAGCATTATAATGTGCTAAACTAATAACTTCATGAGTTGGAATGCTGGTGTGGGAGGAGACAATGCATAAACATTACCTAGGGAACATATAGATCCAATCGAAATCATGTTACCTCTCTCACTGATGATTGAAGCGGATGAGATTCCATGTCCCCCTCTTCAATCAACACTATATATTAAGCACTCTGAATTGTACATCAACCACAACTTTCTAAGTCTTCTGTTCTATCTTTTCACAATACACAAACAAGAAATGGCTTTCCACACTCGCTCTAACAGCTTCCCTTCAAGGCCACACCCAATCGTTCAAGAAGTTGATGAACGTGTGCGTAGACTGAGGTCTTCTAAGGCCACCTCCACATCTTCATCATCAATAAGCCACAAACTAAGCGGTCTCCAAGATTTGCATGATTGTGTTGACAGGTTGCTTCAGTTGCCCCTCACTCAACAAGCCTTAGCACAAGAGCAGAATGAGAAATGGGCTAATGAGCTATTAGATGGCTCTCTCAGACTCTTGGATGTTTGCAGCAGCGCCAAGGATGCTATCTTGCAAACCAAGGAATGTGCACAAGATCTTCAATCAATCATACGAAGAACACGAGGAGGTGAATCTGCAGCACTCACCAGTGAGGTCAGGAAATACTTAACCTCCAGGAAGACGGTGAAAAGGGCAATCCAAAAGGCTATGAAGAATCTTAAGGGATCCAATTTCTCATCCCTCAACAAGGACAATGAGTCAATTGACATGGTAAACAAGTTGAGAGAAGTTGAAGGAGTCACTATTGCAGTGTTTGACTCACTTCTTTCCTTCATCTCTGGGCCAAAATCACAGCCAAGCAGCTGGTCCTTGGTCTCCAAGATGATGCACTCAAAAAAAGTTGCCTGTGAAGAAGAAACAGAAGCAAATGAATTTGCACAAGTGGATGCTGCATTGAACTCTCTCATTGGACACAAGACATGCAAATCTCAAAACAAAAGTGTTGCGCAGAACCAGCTCGAGCAGCTGGAGTCATGCATTCAAGACCAAGAAGAAGGAGTTGAGTGCGTATTTAGGCAAATTATCAAAACAAGAGTCTCCCTCCTCAACATCCTAAACCACTAGATACATATATCTTAGATTTTTCGATTTTGTACATGAAAAACATATTTGTATACAAATACATCCCCTGGGATCAAATTCAGATACATAATGATGATATACTCTTTTGCTCAAATTATCAACTAGTCTCATCCTTCTACGAAAGCATTCACTTTGGGAACTGATCATGAATTCTTGTAGTACTGAAACTAACACAATTTTCGTTCTCTATATTCCGATTATCATCCTGTGCATGGAAAAAATGAACTTACCCTTATTGTCTAATTACAAGATAATGAAAAGTGAATTAACTCTAATTTCCCGAAATCAAACCTGAGAGGTAAACTCACAGGAGTATGTAAAACTATCATTGTTGTCACATGGGATTTGCGTAGATTATATCAAATGTCAAGGCTGTCAAGATTCCAATTGTCTCAAGAGAGACAATAAATAATCAACGATCAATGGCATTCAAAAGAAGACTTGATTTTCTTTAAGCAGTAAGCATATGCTGACTGTCTCTGTTAGAGGAACTATTAGAGACTAAAAAAGGTTTTAAGTCTATGATCATTTGGTCTTGCTTGCTATACAATCATTTATTTTTATTTCTTTCTAGTAAACTTGCCAGCATATCATTGAATGAAGAATTTCTGGTAAAACTCTGTGACCACTAAACAAAATTTCAAAACAACACCCAAGGGGTTTGGTCTAGTGGATATCCTGGCTAGGCCTGCAAGTGGGCGAATGTTAGCTGGCCTCAGTGAGGTCCAGCGTTCGAATCCCACCTTGTGAAAAAACACCCCCTGGGGAGAGTCAAATCCGTTCAGGTCTACGACTCGGAGTGGTTGCTCACTTGCTATTACCAAAAAAAAAAATTTCAAAACAACTGAAATGGATGTCAAATTCCAGTTATCTCCCGGGGAATAATCAAAGACAGATTAAAATTAACAAACTGTTGTAACTAATTAATGACAATAACACGGCAGATGCGCATCTCAGATCCAAGAATGACAATTGTGCTGGATGTCATTCTGCTTGGGAACAGTCCAATTCATCAAGTCTGCTACACACCATTTTTCTACATTTTGGAAACACTGAGGCTATAAAAAATGCAGATTGCAGATCTTGCCTGCTGCTTGCTTAACAATATCATGCCAAGGACCTGCAAAAATAAGATGCATTAACTAATCACTCACATACATGAATCATCATAATTGAGTCTATGCATAAGGCTTAAGCATAGAAGTGGCTGGACACAGGCCATTGGCACTCATGCTTAATATTTAATTTATGGATTGCTGTCCAATATGTTAATTATGATCGAGTGATTGTAACATTATATAAAGATAGTATGAGGTTTTATATCCTAAATTAATCAGTTCATGAGTTGGAATGCTGGTGTGGGAAGAAACCTTGCATAAACATTGCCAAGGGAACGTATAGATACAAATCAAAATCATGTTACCTCTCACCGATGATTGAAGTGGATGAGTTTCCATGTCCCCTTCCTCAACCAACACTATATATTAAGCAGATGCATATGGAGAGGAACAAATCAATCTCAATTGTACATTAACTACAAGGTCTTATATTCTATCTTCTCACAATACACCAAGAAGAAATGGCTTTGCATACTCGCTCTAACAGCTTCCCCTCTAGGCCACACCCGATCATTGAAGAAGTTGATGAACTTTTGTGTAAATTGAGGTCTTCTGAGGCCACCTCCACATCTTCATCATCAATATGCAACAAACTAAGTGGCCTCCAAGACTTGCATGATTCTGTTGATAGGTTTCTTCAGTTGCCCCTCACTCAACAAGCCTTAGCCCAAGAGCAGAATGAGAAATGGACTAATGAGTTGTTAGATGGCTCACTCTGGCGGTTGGATGTTTGTGGCACTGCCAAAGATGCCTTGTTGCAAACCAAGGAATGCATCCAGAACCTTCAATCCATCA